AGAAAATGTAACATCCCATAGTCATGGACTGAGAAACTGGTAGCAAGTATGGTTCAGTGAAGAATTCCGATTTCTTCGCCAACTCCGAGATGGAAGACAGCGTATCTAACGACATCGAAATAAACGTTTGGCACCGAATTGCTATCGTTAGGTCGACAGATTTGACGGCGGGAGTGTGACAGGTCCAACACACGGAGGTTTGACTTGGTAGAGGTTCAAGGGAACCTGACAGCAAATCGGTACATCGACCAAATTTTTCAACGTCACCTTCTTCCAAGTATCAAACGACAGAGGGAGTTGTTTCAACATGACAACGCTAAGTCACACACATAATTTACACGTCAATGTCCTGCCATGACCTTCCAGATCGCCGAATCTGAACCCGATAGAGCAACCGAGGGATGCACTCGACAATGTCAACATACGCCACAAGCATCTGCATTGCTAGCCAGTGCGTTGCAAGAATCGGGGACTCCTTTCTAGAATACGTTATTAAGACCAAGAGACTAGCTGTTTGTCTTGTAGAACAGTACAATGAAATTGTAAAGAGACAACAAGAGATGCTATAGGATAGTCGATGGCAGCTGCACTATCTGCACCATCCAAACAAAGGGACTCTGTTTACCTTCTTTGTACGTATGCATCTTTATTGTGTGTTCAGAATTATACCACGTTAAACTTATATTTAAATATCATGCTAAATCTGTCTTTTGTTTTGAACCTATGGTTATGTGCGTGCGTGCGTGCGTGCGTGCGTGCGTGCGTGCGTGTGTGTGTGTTGTGCCACCGCCACAGCTCGCTGACTGTCATACATTTACTCCTCTCAAACAACAATCTGATTTTCTGCTATATCGTTCTGGAATATATCCAGCACTCTCCTAAAGCTTCAGTTATACGTCGCTGGAGACAAGTTGTTCCCTCACTTAGAGCCGACAGGGAGATTGTCGGTCTGCGAGTTACCGTGATAATATTCGTCAAACGTTCCCTTAAAAAAACAACAGTATATGATATTTGAATAGCTGTCTATTTTGATTAGCACTATTAATTCTGTTGGTCGTCCAGAAGCTACATGAAGGGAAGACAGTTGCATCGTCGCAGTCCACTCCGGGGCTTTGTCAACCTCTCTGGCTCATGGATCATATGCCAAAGGTAAGTTTCATATCTGGCGATAATCTACGCATTAATGTAGGAAATGTATTTTTATAGCCTCGGTATTTGAATTTCCTTTCTGTTACAAAATGACATTATTCAATACAAAATATGTTTGATACAAATCATCACAGCTTAAATCGTCCTCTCCAAAGTGTATGTACAGCAACGATTTAAATTCCACATGAGATATTCGAGAATTAATAAGGGAAAAAAAAGATTTCACTTACACGCTATAACCTTGGAGGGGTGTTTGGCAGGGGGTCATTGGCTGTGTGGGAATGCCCTCACATGGCTATAAACGTGATCTTGTGACGATCTGACAAAATTTTATTGGACAACAGTACATCCTTGACGGGGTTTTGTTGAACCACATTTCGATGAACATCCTCTGAACACATGACCGGTCTTCATGGACAACAATGCCAGGCCATATCGTGCACGTGCGGTTGATGATTTCATACGTCAGGAGCCTGTAGCAACTCCTGACCCGCCAGGAGTCCGGTTTTCAAACCCATACAGCGTGTTTAGGACGTTATGGGTGGCAGAATATGCCAGATAGATCCTCCAGTACAAATCTTCATATATTGGAGCAAGAACTCCATCAAGAATGAAACGCAATACCTGAACGTCAAATTCAACGTCTGATAACAGCCGAGGAATAGGAGGGTGCAGGATGTTATTGCAGTTGGTGGAGGTTACACCCTACATTGGTATTGTAGGCCGCAATCTTGAAAAAGACTTCACTTGTTAATGCCATACGACCATAGGTGCTAGCACTACAAAATGAGTCATTTTTAGTCATGTTTGCTGCTCGGAATAAACTAGTTTTTCGTTCTTTTTGCATTTAGATTGGCCATTTAATTGACCCTTGGGGGTCATTTTAACCTGATAGTAAGTGAACTTGATGTTTGGATAGGCTTTTTTCCTATATTTCATGATATTATATTGATACTTTGAAAATATGGGGTGTTGCAATACTTTTGTACACGTGTATACTTTGGCAGGGCATACCTGGTGATATGTGAGAGAGACAACAAAGGTTGCCTTCTAAATGCATATACAATGTAAAATATTGAAGTTACTCACGCCGATTAAAAAAACAGTGGATTTCATCTTCTATGAATTAGTAATGTGTGTGTATTATTATCAGAAAACGTCGAAGCATATATGAATTTGCATTTTAGAAAATAGTGAATGCTGAAATCAATTAAATTATAACTTTCGTCTTTGAAGTGACAGAAAGATGTGTGTCCTAGCTCCTGCTACTCGTACTCTGTACTGATTGGTAATGTATTTCCCCTGTACATATGACTGTGTCACTCTTGTCGTCCACATTGGTTACCTCTGTACTGTCATTCTGCAGTCTGTGTCACTCTTGTCGTCCACATTGCTTACCTCTGTACTGTTGTCGTCCACATTGGTTACCTCTTCTGCAGTCTGTGTCACTCTTGTCGTCCACATTGGTTACCTCTGTATTGTCATTCTGCAGTCTGTGTCACTCTTGTCGTCCACATTGCTTACCTCTGTACTGTCATTCTGCAGTCTGTGTCACTCTTGTCGTCCACATTGGTTACCTCTGTACTGTCATTCTGCAGTCTGTGTCACTCTTGTCGTCCACATTGCTTACCTCTGTACTGTCATTCTGCAGTCTGTGTCACTCTTGTCGTCAACATTGCTTACCTCTGTACTGTCATTCTGCAGTCTGTGTCACTCTTGTCGTCAACATTGGTTACCTCTGTACTGTCATTCTGCAGTCTGTGTCACTAATGACATCTAAATTCGTAAACTATTGTCATGCAGCATCACGCTTGTCCTCTCCGTTGGTAAACTGTGTAATATTAATAACATGTTGTGTCACGCTTGTCCTCTACGTTGGTCAACTATGTAATAGCATGCTGTGTCACGCTAGTCTTCCTCTCCGTTGGTTAACTATGTGATGTCATGTTTTGTCACGCTTGTCCTCTCCTTTGGAAAACTATGCTGTGTCACGCTTGTCCTCTATGTCGATTAATTATGTACTTTCATGTTGTGTCACGTTTGTCCTCTCCGTTGGTTTACTATGTAATATCATGTTGTGTCACGCTTGTTCTCTACGCTGGTAAACTATTTAACACCATGCTGTGTCACGCTTGTCCTCTATGTCGGTTAATTATGTAATATCATGTTGTGTCACGCTTGACCTCTATGTCGGTTAACTATGTAATATCGTGTTGTGTCACGCTTGACCTCTATGTCGGTTAACTATGTAATATCATGTTGTGTCACGCTTGACCTCTATGTTTGTTAACTATGTAATATCATGTTGTGTCACGCTTGACCTCTATGTTTGTTAACTATGTAATATCATGTTGTGTCACGCTTGACCTCTATGTTGATTAACGATGTAATATCATGTTGTGTCACGCTTGACCTCTATGTTTGTTAACTATGTAATATCATGTTGTGTCACGCTTGACCTCTATGTTTGTTAACTATGTAATATCATGTTGTGTCACGCTTGACCTCTATGTTTGTTAACTATGTAATATCATGCTGTGTCACGCTTGACCTCTATGTTTGTTAACTATGTAATATCATGTTGTGTCACGCTTGACCTCTATGTTTGTTAACTATGTAATATCGTGTTGTGTCCCGCTTGACCTCTATGTTTGTTAACTATGTAATATCATGTTGTGTCACGCTTGACCTCTATGTTTGTTAACTATGTAATATCATGCTATGTCACGCTTGACCTCTATGTTGGTTAACTATGTTATATCATGCTGTGTCACGCTTGACCTCTATGTTTGTTAACTATGTAATATCATGTTGTGTCACGCTTGTACTCTATGTTTGTTAACTATGTAATGTCATGTTGTGTCACGCTTGTCCTCTCCGTTGGCTAACTATGTAATATCATGTTGTGTCACGCTTGTCCTCTCCGTTGGATAACTATGTAATATCATGATGTGTCACGCTTGTCCTCTATGTTTGTTAACTATGTAATATCATGCTGTGTCACGCTTGTCCTCTATGTTTGTTAACTATTTAATATCATGCTGTGTCACGCTTGTCCTCTACGTTGGTTAACAGTTTTGGTGTTATCAGTGTTTTTTCTTGTTTTTCGGTCTCAGTTACTGTTTAAAATAATTCCTGATCCCAAATGACGTATGACTTATAGTCGGGACTGTTCATCAGTTACCTGCACAGGCGGCAGTTATGTTGCTTCATCCTGGCCTGGTAGAGACGCTGTAATATAGAATATAGAACAAGAGAGTAGTGGCACGGGAAGGGGTGCTGGAGGAGGTTCCAGCTCTGATTGTTTGAAGTGATTGCAAGGCTGTGCACGTATACTAAGTACTGAATTAGAAAGTGTAGTCATTAACTCCAGGCAGGGGACACCCCAAACCATCTGTGGTCAGCTGTCAGGCTTCTGCTGCAGCCTTAATTGACGACAGCAATTACCAACTTAACGCAACAAGGGTAAAATATCGCATGCCTTTACATGTTGTAATTAGGCTTCCAGTTGCCCGACAGTGGAATGGGAAGCGACCATGCCGTTGTTTGTTGAAGTTATTTGTGTATTTATTTCGTTGATCGTAGTATACTTCTCATTGGAGTATAGGAGTTGAAACGTTGTGTTGTATCTGTCAGTGATTTAGCACTGGTATTCCAGTGGATGGGGAAACTGTAGCCCAGGCGCCATCCAGCTACATGTTGTACATCCCCCACACCGCATCATTTACAAACTGGGATAAGTTAAACAACTGGAACGTTGCATCTCTCCCAAAATCTTACTAACTATTGGCATCCCATGGTGACTGCACTCTGTTTCCCTCGCTGTGCCATTGGTTTGGCCAACGGTACACAGGCCAGTCAGTGTTGCAGTGTTGCTGTATGGAGTCAGGGCGCTCGGGATCGATACACACAGGTATAAGTGTGCTTGGAGAGGAGACCATTTGTCATACAGAGTTTAGTCAGGGAACAGTAACGTGGTGTAGGAAATCACACTTGTTGCTGATAACTGGACACAGATATTGCGCTGGCTATTTGCGAGAGTAAAGTTTGTTCACACCGCCTCGGGAACTAACTTTGTGTAACACTGAACGAAGACGCCAGTCGCGGAGGATAGTTGAACTGCTCCCTGAAGCGTAGCGCAATAAGGATGTGTTGATGTACAAGCTTGGATGGTAGAGGGACTGGTTCCTGCTCGTCACTAACAGTTCGTGACACGTATATGTGACCCGTGTCGATCAGCCGTGACAGTGACACGTGGAGGCGTGAATATAACACTTAAAACTACTACTACACTACGCAACGACAGGAGTTAAAGGTAAGAAATCAGCTGTCACACCCCACTCTCCCTGAGCTGCCGGACTCACGGCCAGTAATGGTTTACAGTGTTTCACAAGAATATAGCTTATGATAACGTATAATGTATCTACAAAAACATGCGTGGATAAGATGACCTAACCCAGCTCACACACGGGACTCGGTAGCACCAAACTAGTTCATTCCGTTCAGTTTCAAACATGGGTTGAAATCATTTTATACAGGCCTGAGTCTAATTACATCCTTGCGATCGAACGTTTTTGTTAATTATTTATTGTAATATGATAGTCCAGACTGTTGCCTGTCGATTCCTTGACTTTACGGACATTGTGATGTGCAAGCTATGACACGTTGTTATAGAACGCTGGCTAATACTCAACATTAGGGCTCTGCTTTATGTTGCATTACTGTTATCCGCGACCGACTGAAATGCTCCTCATACACAGTTCCTTGCAGATGCATGGCACCTATCAAATTAGTAACTGTTTTATGTATCAGTGTACCAAGATTGGACATCTTGGACAACTAGTTATTACATGTATATTTGTACAGCCTCAGATCACTGTCAGATTAATAGAGCCAATACAGAAAACGACCCCTCCTTGAACATTGTATTGTAGGCAAATAGGCCATTTCTCCAGTCACTTAGTAACATCGCCTTGTGTCGTGTTCGTGTTCGCTACTAGCAACTCAAGATTAGTCACGTTTATGGCGATGTAGGAAAACTAACTGAAGCTAGTGAAGCAGAGACATGCACGATGTTTCTCTGCCCTGGAGCGACACACTACAGATATCTTGAAGAACATTCATGTAAGGCTTCATATATGTACTAAACACAACAATTATAATATAGCAGTTCTCTGAAAAAGAAATAAGAATGTTAAAACTATTGAACCCAAAATATAACACTGAATAATGAGGTAGTGGCTTGGATGGAAACCCCGACCTTTGTAGGGTAGAACTGGGGTAGATCTAGTCCTAGAAATGATTAGTGGAAAGGTAAAATTCTAAACTTGTGTATAAAAATCTCAGTCGATTAAATAGTTCGTTTCAGTACACAGTGGTGTACCTCACTCTGGAAAATTCTATATATTTTCATAATATTTGTCTCCGAACTGTCATGAGAATGTGATTTATCAGGCAAAGTCCCAAAGTCCCGAAAGGTGTCCCAGTGTTGACAGCCTAGCTCAGTCGTTACTGCAAAGTGTCTGTTGTAAATGACACATGTTCTCCCGCTTGCATCTGAAATGTGAAAACATGAATTGTCCTATAGGCATTAGGAGAAACAAACACTACGGCCCGACTGGAGCTCGGGTTACTTGTCCCGATATCTGCTGACAGGCGCGACCCATTTGTCGGAAAGGAGGTCACCTAGCGGGGTAATGTGAAGGAGCTGCAACCCCCTGCCCCCCCTGTCTCACCCCTCTTCCCGCCATACAGCTGCAGCCAGCAATATTGCATCATCTCACAGCATCACCAGTGTCAATCCCATATCTATGCACATCCCCCACACAGCAACAGTGATAAACTGTTTCTAGCATCTGTAAACATGTTTATTGATTACACGAGGCGATTTCCACTTCTAATCAACTTAATGTATTGTGTATCTATTAACTTGTTTATTGAATACTTTAGCAAACCGCGAGTATCACAGAATATATATGACGCGCCCTATCCACTCAGCAGGACGCGAGGTCGGCAACATAGACAGACATGTACAAGTTACCAAGGTTTTCGATAAGCAGGTATGTGTTGACTGTACAATCTACACGGCCTGCTTTATGATAAAGGGCGGTCGTATAAACGATAAGGTTTGACAGAACTAGCTGCCGTGCTGGGTTGGGGCAGTATAATTTATGGCAATACAACTCCTTTGGAAAAATGTACACAGGCAAGGTTCGTGTTTGAAAACCCCGCATGGGCAAAACAAGGTAGGACATATTAACATTGACAATATATAATGACACTTAATGAAGCTTGAAATGGAGTCATTTGCGTTGAGGGATTTTCATTAACACATCTCGACTCTACCGAACGCGTATTAACACTATATTGTAAGATATAAATGTTTTGATACATGTGCCTTTCGAGACACTGACCGACCTTGTACAAGTTATGTATTGTAAAATGTAAATTTCTCAACACCTTTGTCAACCCGAATATATTTTGGATTAGGCTAACTATCCTCTTTCAACCAAGGTATAGTGGCTTAATCCATTTGGACGGTACCCCTAACCGGTTCCACGACACAAACACGTCCCTCCAAATGCCGTGTCTGCCCCCTTCCCCTACGTTACGATTACGTCCCTCGACAGCCCTGCTCTATAGAACCCCGATCTTCCCTCTACGTAAAGAATACGTCCCAGGCCAGTGTCATGACCCCCTGGCCACCTTGTACGTGCTGACACCCCTCCCCATTTGTCATCCACCCACAGCCGCTGGTGATTGAATATTGACTACTTTGTACACGGCGGAGTTCAGGGCGACAGGTTCACTCGGTGAAATCTATTCCGATATCTCTCCTATAATTGCTTCAATTCGCGGTTTTTGCATTTAGCTCAACTCAATGTCCAAAAATCAAGTTTTGAAGGTTAATGTCAGACATTCTACACAGAGAGTTCAAACATTACTAATTCAGCGATTTGAACATATCAAATAACGTTCGCAAAGATTTTCTTCGAATCGTGGTAAATAATTAACGATGAGATAATGTTACTTAGACCATCCCACACGACCTATATCTTGCTGGCAAAACGATGTGACTGTGTCGGTGAAAGCATTCCCCCAAACACCTATCTGGGCATGGTCAGTTGAAGCAGAGACATTATATGGTCGCTGGTTGAAGATAATGTTTCAACTAAAAATATTTCGTTTGCAATAGTTGTTATTTCGTTCTGTGTATGAAGTTGCATCTACTAGATCAGCTAATGATGAGAGAGAACTAATCACTGAGTTGATGAGGAGACAGAGGACATCACGCACTTCCCACAACCTATCCTGCAGCCCCGTCGGGAGTGAGACTGTCTTACTATCAGGTGTTACGCAATCAAGTAGCGAGTTCAGGACAGTGCGTTATACGCAAGTTGATAAACACCCAATAGTTCCCCGATATAACGCCGGCAGGTGGGCAATGTCAACCACCACCTCATTATAAAGTTGCTAGAATCAATCATTATACCACCTAATCATGGGCAACAGTGCTTTTACTGCTTTCACAAATATATGAGATGAGTATGTTTGTTTATGACCATGCTGTGCGTTCTCAACCTCTTGACTGCAAACCAGCAGTGGAGCGCCTGGCTCAACCATTTCCCCCCAACCTGGGCCACACATAGCGGAAGTGCAGCATAATAACTTCTACCAACACGCTTTGTCCTGTTATTCCTATTACATTTAATGTATATACATTTGTTTACACATTTGTTTACATGTGGGACAGTAGCATCATCTTTTGCTTCCCCACTTCACATGTCAGTCTTGTGGTCAAAGCAGATGGATACTGGCCTAGACTGTCCCTCAGTTTACCATTGTTGTTGTTAGATCAATTCATATGTCAGGGTACATGCCTCAATATTACACACACGTATGGTATTCAACAACAATCGCATGTCCTTAGTTTAGTCTGTGGGCTTATGTTGGATTGGGACGTGCATGCTATCTATGTACCAGATCAGTGTTTTGTGTATTGTTATAGCTTATTAGAAACAAATCTGTTAAGTAAGAATTTCTGTGATTCCATATATACTGATATCTTTACCGATTTTGAATGCCATGTCAGAATGTATTCAGGAACGTGATCCAAGCATATTTGGCATCACGTTGTTTAAAATAACATAATTATGTCGGGCTGGTCAGGAACACTTACATCAGTGTGTAGTGGTGGTCAGGAACACTTACCTCAGTGTGACGTGGTGGTCAGGAACACTTACATCAGTGTGTCGTGGTGGTCAGTAACACTTACATCAGCGTGTCGTGGTGATCAGGACCACTTACATCAGTGTGTCGTGGTGGTCAGGAACACTTACATCAGTGTGTCGTGGTGATCAGGAACACTTACATCAGTGTGTCGTGGTGATCAGGAACACTTACATCAGTGTGTCGTGGTGATCAGGAACTGAACACTTACATCAGTGTGTCGTGATGATCAGGAACACTTTACATCAGTGTGTCGTGGTGATCAGGACCATTTACATCAGTGTGTTGTGGTGGTCAGGAACACTTACATCAGTGTGTCGTGGTGGTCAGGAACACTTACATCAGTGTGTCGTGGTGATCAGAAACACTTACATCAGTGTGTCGTGGTCAGGAACACTTACATCAGTGTGTCGTGGTGGTCAGGAACACTTACATCAGTGTGTCGTGGTGATCAGGACCACTTACATCAGTGTGTCGTGGTGGTCAAGAACACTTACATCCGTGGGTCGTGGTGGTCAGGAACACTTACATCAGTGTGTCGTGGTGATCAGGAACACTTACATCAGTGTGTCGTGGTGATCAGGAACACTTACATCAGTGTGTCGCGGTGTTCAGGAACACTTACATCAGTGTGTCGTGGTGGTCAGGAACACTCACATCAGTGTGTCGTGGTGATCAGGAACACTTACATCAGTGTGTCGTGGTGATCAGGAACACTTACATCAGTGTGTCGTGGTGATTAGGAACTGAACACTTACATCAGTGTGTCGTGATGGTCAGGAACACTTACATCCGTGGGTCGTGGTGATCAGGACCACTTACATACATCAGGAACACTTACAGTGTGTCGTGGTGATCAGGACCACTTACATCAGTGTGTCGTGGTGGTCAGGACCACTTACATCAGTGTGTCGTGGTGGTCAGGAACACTTACATCAGTGTGTCGTGGTGATCAGGAACACTTACATCAGTGTGTCGTGGTGATCAGGAACACTTACATCAGTGTGTCGTGGTGGTCAGGAACACTTACATCAGTGTGTCGTGGTGGTCAGGAACACTTACATCAGTGTGTCGTGGTGGTCAGGG